GGGAGAAGATGCTGGACAAAACTGGACTAGATGACTGTTTTCCAGTTATGGGGGAAATTCCCAAGGGTTCCGCCGATACTCTGGTGTGTAGATTTGACCCACGTACGATGCGGAACAGCGTCGACACTTGAAAAAGTATACAACACCAGATCTCAGAAACTTGGGAACTTTATCCTTATATGAAAAAAAGGAAGAAATATGTGTGGTGGGACGAAAAACAAAGCGAATATCAAGATGCGGATAAGCAGCATTACAAAGTCGAGTAATTTGATTGCAAATCTGAAGCAAGTGGGAACCAGTGAAGCGAAGGCAAAAATAGACCATTTTCTTTGAAACTGGGTGAATAAGTGGTTTTGGCTCAAAGGTATTGTTAAGGAAGCGACGAACAAATTCGTCAAACATATGAGCGGGATAACTATTCAGGTTGAACAAATTCCTGACAACCTCAAGTTGGATATAAAAATTTTCATAACCAGAACAGAGGTTGAAAATTCGGTGAAGTAAACAGGAGATTAAAGAGCGTTTATATTCAACAGGAATGAAACTGTGGAAGTTGGTAAAAAGACCGGTAAAAGTGGGTTTACGATAAACAGAGGTGGAGCCGAATTTACTTCTTGAGCGAGTTATTTCAATACCTAGGAAAGGCAGCTTTCCTTCTCTTTCCAATTCAGATGTAAAGGCGATATTAGGGTGCTGGCAGTTTAGGTATATAAGAAAACTAGGAACATGATCCAAGGATCTGAAAAGAAGAAAACAATCATCAACATAACGTCGATATAGAATAGGTCTGAAAGAAGAAGGACAGTTGGAAAGCCATGATTTCTCATGGAAAGACATGAAAATATTGGCGTAGAGTGGTCCTAGAGGGCTACTTATAGCCACACCAACAATCTGCTGATAAATGTGGCCATTAAAGGAAAAATGACAGTTTTTAACAGAAAGAGATAAGAGTTTGGTGAATTGTGAACGATCAAGGCCTTCAAAACACATACAGTTTGAAAAAATGAGATCTGAGATGATCTCAATCGTTTCATCCAAAGGAATATTAGTTAACAATGATGCGACATCAAAACAGGCCATAACTACATGGTCTGAATCAATGTCACTGCTCAACAGTTCCTGAACAAAGGAAAACGAGTCCTTTATGACAAAAGAACTGATAGAGATTGGAGTAAGGAAAGGAATGAAAAATTTAGCTATTGCGTACGAATAATGATTGATACATGATAGAATGGGCCTTCAAGGAATAGATGATTTATGAATCTTTGGAAGTCGGTATAGTATGCCAATGCGTGCACCAGTGGGATACAGTTCATTGTAAGTTCTTTCGTTGATGCAGTTGCCAGCCTTCAGCTTCTTTAGCAACGCTTTAACTTGATTCTCACGTTTCATGGTGAGTTTATCTGCGTCGTCTTTCAGAAGTTCAAATTTTGAAGTATCCGATAGGATTTCGTCCATCTTCATATTATAGTCATCTTTGTTGAGAATTACAACACTGTTACCATTGTCGGGTTTTACAATAACAACGTTGCTATCGCTCCTAAGGTCTTTGAGAATGTTCAGTTCTTCCTGGGTGTAGAAGGTGTTAGGTCGATTGTAGCTGCGGTTTCCGGAGTATGCTATATCTTTTAACTTAACCTTGATCGAATCAGGGAAAAAACCGGAATGGGTATTGATTGGTTCTTGCTTAATTTGGTTATAAAAATTTTCAAACGGCGACTTGGTTTTCAATTTCTCAAATCGTCTCATCTCGGACAAAGAGAAGGAAATCCTTTCGAAAGGCCTTAACTTTGCTATTCCACCGACCAAATTGAATCTCTGTACTTTTCTCACGCCGTTTGAAAATTTTTATAACCAAATTAGGCAAGAACCAATCAATACCCGTACGTGGGTCAAACCACACGCCATTTACGCACAAGAGTATCGGAACACTTGGGAATTTCCCCTATAACTGGAAAACCGTCATCTAGTCCAGTTTTGTCCAGCATCTTCTCCCACTTAACCACTGCAGGGCACTGTGCCGACTTTGATGATTTTGAAATTCTTTCCTCATGTTCTGACAAACATGAACTCATGATTCATGAAAGCCTCCTCATCTCCAAACTAAACCCTCACTTAACATCCAGGGCAGTTCAATCCCACCTAATCTTCTGTAACGTGTTTTCATAGTTTTTGTATTGTGGTTTTTATGTCCCTTCGTCTGTGCGGTTTTGTCATGTACTATCTTATACCTTCCTATCCGTCATTAATATACATATGTAAATAGATTATATATATTCAAATCTCATGTAATTTTATATCACTTGTCTGAAGATGTCTTAGGCTAAAGACGAAACGTTACAAATATATTTACTTTTAAACTTAAAATTGTTTTGATGGCTTTCTTAAATGTTATATGTTGGGCTCTATATCTCTATTTAAATCTCTATATCTCTTTTCAAATCTCTATATCTCTATTTAAATATCAATATCTATATCTCTATTCAAATCTCTATATCTCTATTTGGATCTCTGTATCTCTATTTAAATATCTATATCTCTATTTAAATCTCTATATCTCTATTCAAATCTTTATATCTCTATTCAAATCTTAATATCTCTATTTAAATCTCCATATCTTTTTTAAATCTCAATATCTCTCTTTTTAAATCTTTATATTTCTTTTTAAATCTCAAAATCTCTATTTAAATCTCTATATTTCTATTTAAATCTCATTATCTCTATTTAAATCTCAATATCTCTATTTGAATCTCTAAAATCACTATATTTTCCCGTATCTGATTAAAAGATTTCGACATATTTTACATGCAAACAGGTGTAGTTGGGAAAAATTCGAAACTTCAGCAATAAAACAACAGTAATAAAACCTGCGACAATGGGACACAGATGAGGAACGCAGCTACTTTCGGCAAATATTTATATGTTAATCAAATTTCGATGCGTGAATTATAAAGTGATACCAGAAAAAAAGGGTTGAAAAGAAAATACTGAGGTTTACTATGGAGTATCATTTTGCAAAATTAACTTGTGGTAAATAAATTTTCTTTCATTAGGTATTTAAATTAAATGTCACTTCTACAAGAATGATGTTCTGCCTACATTTTTGGCCTTTACCTTTAGTATATAACGATCACTGATGGCATGCAGACACGGGCTAAGGAAGTGTGTTCTTGCTGGTGCATGAATTTGCAGATGAATAAGAACAAGTAAAAAACGAATTTTCTCAAAAAATAAAAAATAAGTTACAACAAACCATGTTACGAACCGGTATTGTTGAAACAAACTTAACATGCCATTTTTTGCTGATTTTTGACAAATTTCAAAACGTTACGGTGTCTTTAAACGCAAATATCTCGGAAACTACTCGCTCAAACTTCATATGTAATAATATTATATCAAACTTTAAGTTAGACATTACTCAACCAAATATGAATAATTTGATTGTAATATACTTTAGTTCGTTTGTAAGTTTTGTTGAAGTAAAGATGGGTGTTTTTTGAGGGACACTCGGTACTTATATTTGTCTTAAGGAAGAATTAAAATTAATTATGCTTGCATGGCATGAATACAATTATAGCGCTATGAAACGTTTACCTCGTTTTCCATCGGAAGCAGCTTGTCTTTCAAATCTTTTCGCCCCAATTCATCCAAACACTTTCTCAAAATACGCCGATCAAACGAGTGGCTTTCATTGAAAAGTAAGAGAACTTGTTCTCCTTTTGAAGAAAATTTCGTGCAGTTGAATCTAATCTCTTCGCTTTCATAGTACGGAATATCCATGAGTCCTGCCTGACCGTCCCAGTCGAGCCCAACCTTTCTGCTTATTCGACTTATTTCTTTATTTGTGAGTTTTGTGGCATGACATACAACTGGAAATGCAAGGAAACAATATTCGTATGAGTAATGGGTATTGTTATATAGGTTCTGTGTATTTTAAATGTGATTGGTTCATTCGTATTCACATGACTTTAAATAAATGCAATGTTTCCCGCCAGGGAAACAAGTGAAAAATTGTTGCCCGCTTCTTGCCATAACAAAGTAAAGTGGGGGTTTTTTTAATGTTTTTGTTCTGATATAACAAAACACTTAATGTACACTATCTCGGAAAATAGTGAGTTTTGTTTTCCCTCGAGTTTCAACATTCGGACTCTTGGGAGAACAAAACTCACTATTTCCCTCGGGAGCATACATTAAGTGTATAATATCTATTTTATAATTATTCACATTATTCACATTTAATTATTGAAAATTTTGGCTTCTGATTAGTCAAGCGACCTCAGATTTTTTAACAATCAGTCATCGAAGGTGAGGTGATTACAAGCTGAGAACAAGTTGCATGGTATGAAGGTTGCATAGAAAAAGTAATATAGTTGTAGAGCGCCTTCGTTTCCGTTCTACCATACCTCAATTTATATAAGTATTCCTGGACATTGTATCTTAGAGACAATGTTATGCATACCTTCTGGTAATTGTTCCGTGGTTGGGCTTTGTGCTAAAATTTAAAATAACATATTATGGGATAAAAAAAACAACACGTCATGGAGATAATGAATCATTGATGAGAAAACGAATCATCATAAATATGCATTTTAAGCAAATATCAATGAATATTTCAGTAATCTTCGAAAGCGCCAAAAGCAGTTTATGAAAGCGGGGCAGAATTTAACCGAAAGTATTTCCATTTTAAACTAAAAAGGAAGAATCTTGAGTCTTACTAATCTTTGTTTTACTATAGGAAGAGACTTTCTCGTCCAGCAAGAACGTATCTTGGATAATATTGATTTACCATTTAAACTAAAACACTCAGCGCTCGTCGCAAGCGCATAACATAGCCAGAAAATTCAAGACTGGGGCGAGGCTTCTCCCCTTGCACACGAATTAGCAAAGCTCGAGAAAGCTCGTCGTCCAGGTGACCTTGGGCTCCCCCGTTTGACATTCCATATTAACCTCATGCTTTTCAAGCGTGGCAATAATATAATTTTATTCTGAATAATTAAAAATTAAAAATTACCATTTGCAGCGTTTTCTTTTGTGTTTTGCCAATTTCCACTTAAAGTTAATCTCCACAACAAGGTAGTTTCGAGTACATCGCTGATCTCAATCCTTCCACTTTCTGGTTTTTCTATTGTAATTCCTTCAAAATCACCAATCGCATAACCATCAGAATCCACTTGAGTCATATCTATCTTGAAAGAGATAGGACTGCTTTCAACTCCTGGGAAATAGAAACATATTTGAAAATGACGGTCAGTGTGGACACGTTTCAACTCTCCTTTTTCTCCGATGTGGTAACCTCGACCAAAATGATCCTTCAACTGCTTGATATCGCTTTCGTCATTGTCATCAACAAACTCGCTTATCAGAACAACCGCGATATCAATTGTTCTGAATGAAGGTTGTCTGCGGTACAAGGCGTAGGCACGGCAAACAAACGAGCAATTGTAATGGGAAACGACTCGAGCTAACCTAGCCCGCAACGCCAAAATGGCATTATACCAACAGAAACCGGCAATTTTTAAATTTAAACCCCCACACACCCCCCCTCATTGTCTACGTCATTGTCGATACCATTAGTCACCACTTCCCACACGATCTTTTCGTAAATATCATTGTAAGAACCATGAAGGATGAAAAGTTGTGCATCGGAGTCAGACCTTTCGAATGAAATGGTAAGAACGGCTGGTTTTAGGAATTTTAGGCGTTGTGGAAGGAATTCAGCAGTACTTAGGAAAGCATCAACTAGACCCAAGTTTATTAATGATTTAGGGACGAAATTTTTGTGGGGTTTTGTAGCTACAGTAATTTTTGTGTCCTCAGTCAAGCAACCAGCTTCCAACTGAAGTGTGACGTCGTCGTTCTCGATAACGCCTCCTTTTGGGCCAATTAAAGCTGAAATAAAATAATTAGGAATAAATTATTTTGCGGATCGTAAATAAAGGCTGCTTTCCACTTATGCGTTTTTTATACGCACGTACACGTACGGAAAATTTTAAATGCTTTTAAGTTTTTATTATTTAACATCTAGGTCAACTAATGCATACTAAAATATGCAGAAAACTAAGTTCCTTCGATTTATTCACTTGGTTTTTTCAAAGGTAGCATGTACAAGGATTTAGACTTTTACGTGCGTGTACGTGCGTATGAAAAACGCGTAAGTGGAAAACAGCCTTAACTTTTCGGGTTTGCGCATTGCTTCTGCTCATAATAACGCATGCTTAGGGAAAGGTATCCTAATTTGAACGCGATTATTTGAACGCGAGAACTTTTCGGCAATTTATCAACATTGCACTAGTAATTGTTAGGAAGCTCTAATAGTGACTACCAGTACGACTACGACTGCGAGATTTGTCATTCTTAATTGCCTTTGGTTAATTTCGTACTCGTAATCCCAACGACAACGGTTCGCCAGATAACGTTGGCAAAAGCACCAAACTTGGCGCGAAAATGTGAATCTTGTATTCGTACTCGTGGTCACTGCTAAAGCTACCAACACAGAATAGACATTATACCAAAAGTCTCCCTCTTTGTATTTTCATGTCCGAAATTTTTTGAGAGTGTTTCACCCCACCTAACGAAAGCAAAATACTCAGGCCTACAAAACGTGAAAATTGTTAAAAGATATATAGAAGAGTGTAAAAAATCAAAATACGTTTTGATGAAGAAAATGTGGAAACACGTGATAAAAGTCTGAAATAGATATATATTAAAAATTGAATTAAATATTATTGTAGTATGGATATTACCTGAAATAGGCACAATTCGTTTCGGAGATTCTAAAAAGATGGAATGGTATAATCATTTAAGATAAGTGTTCACGAATTAACATGTGATCGCTACGAAATTGTATTGTAGCTAACAATGAAATAACCGAACTTTGTTTGGTCACTGAGAGATCAGCGAGGTTTGTACAAAAAGATACAAGCAGTATTCAGCAGCAATATTCTAAAAGATAATATTAATTAGGATGACGGTAATTACCTGTTTTGTTTGTTGTCAGTTCTTTTAGTATCCTTGAGCGTTGTTCATGAAGTTGCTGTTGCTGTTGCTGTCCTTCGGGAAATGGCAACGAAAAACCATATTGCGCATCAGATTCTACTTCAAAATACATATAAATATATACATAGACATGGAAGCACTTGATTTTTCCAAGTTGGGAGTAATGCTAGATATGTTTGTAGGCAGATCGGTTGGTAGATAGATAGACGCCAATGTCTTATAAAAAATTATTTGCATTTGCCTTCGTTATCGGCATAAATTAATAATTTATTTGCATGCTGTTGAAAAATCACGATTGACCGTGTGCAATAACTGATTACTGGAGTCTATTACACTAGTTGGTGTACAATTATTTATTTTTCCGACGTTTCTAAGAGGGAAGATAATGCAGTTTGTGATAATCTCATATCGTCTCGTCTGACCAGGACCGTCACTAAAAGCTTAATTGGGGGGAGGAGATATATTCATATATGTTTGCATGTACGACGGTAGAAAAAATAGCTATAACAAAAGAAATCATAAGACATAAAACGAATATACGAGTATGCACCCCCCCCCCCCTCCACACACACAATAAAGCTTCTAGCCTTACTTGTCTCCCTATCGCTTTCTATATAACGTTATAAATAGTTTTGCAAAGAAACGAAGAAATTACCCTTTTCGAAAGGTTCTGCAAAGCAATCTGAAAGGTATTTAGCAGCACCATGTTCTACTAAATGTTTGACAATGTCTGACGAGCCAGATTCTACAGCCCAGTCAATAAGTGGCTGGTCATTTTCATCTTTCCAATTGACATCAGCACCATGTTCTACTAAATGTTTGACAATGTCTGATGAGCCAGATTCTACAGCCCAGTAAATAAGTGGCTGGTCATTTTCATCTTTCCAATTGACACTAGCACCACATTTCAGTAAATATTTGACAGTGTCTGATGAGCGATATCGTACAGCCCAGTAGAGAAGTGGCTGGTCATTTTTATCTTTCCAATTGTCATCACCACCACGTTCCACTAAATATTTGACAATGTCTAATGATGAGCGATTTTGTACAGCCCAGTAGAGAAGTGGCTGGTCATTCTTATCTTTCCAACTGATATCAGCACCACGTTCTACTAAATATTCGACAATGTCTAATGAGCCATATCGTGCAGCCCAGTAGAGAAGTGGCTGGTCGTTTTTATCTTTCCAATTGACATCAGCACCACGTTCCACTAAATATTTGACAATGTCTAATGATGAGCGATCTTGTACAGCCCAGTAGAGAAGTGGCCGGTCAATATTATCTTTCCAACTGATATCAGCACCTTTGTCAACTAAATATTTGAGAATGTCTAATAAGCAATCTTGTACAGCATAGTAGAGAAGTGGCTGGTCAATTTTATCTTTCCAGTTGACATCAGCACCACGTTTTACTAAATATTTGACCACGTCTAATGAGTGATATTGTACAGCATAGTAGAGAAGTGGCCGATCGTTGTTATCTTTCCAATTGACATCAGCACCACGTTCCACTAAATATTTGACCATGGCTATCGGGCCAATTTGAACGGCATAGTAGAGAAGTAACCAGTCATATTTATCTTTCCAAATGACATGGGCACCATGTTCTACTAAATATTTGACAATGTCTAATGAACGAGATTGTACAGCATAGCAGAGAAGTGGCTGGTCATTCCGATATTTCCAATTGACATCAGCACCATGTTCCACTAAATACTTGACAATGTTCAATGAATGGGATTGTACAGCATGGCTGAGAGGTGTTGTGTTAAGATGACTTTTCCAATTAACATCAGCGCCGTGATCAACTAAATATTTTGTGACTTCCACAAGACCAGATCTTACAGCACCAAAGAGAACAGTTTCACCGAATATATTAGTATAGTTTAGCTCAGCCCTAGCTCTATATCTCTTTTCTACCCACTTCCGTACAGCATCCAAATCGACACTCGACGAACTTGTGAACACATCCCAAAGATTAGGAATATTCATATTTCTTCTTAAAATTTTATCCACTCGAAATTTAGTTATCATATATTCCTTCAAATGAATATAATGGTTTAGTACAAACGTGAGGAAATTTAATGTACCAATAAGAATCCCATTTGACAAAATTATTTTCATTTTCTGATTTTGTAAAATTATTTGACAGGAAGATGTTTGTACAAAAAAATCCCTCTACATAATTGCCATGCAACGGTTTCTAAGGGCTGTTTACATGAGTCCAGTCAACCTTTAACGAAGCATGAGATGATTTTGAGGTGTTGAAAAAAGTTTTTATGAAACAAAACAATCATGCACATGCTATTGCTGGAATGACTACATTACGGCCAGCATCATGTTTTTCAGGGTGATAAAACATAATTATTTAGATGATTAATAATTTCACTGAAATTTTTGCGCCAATCAACCCCTTTCTATAATGTCTATTGTATTGGCTTTAATCCTATGCCTATGAGGATTTTGTAACGTGTAAGTAAGAACGCTATAAAAAGTTGAGTAAGCCGCCGTTAGCATGAACATGTTACCTTTTCCTCGGCAATAAACAAAAGCAAATATTCGAATAATTCGATAACGGATGCACGAATAAAATTTTAGAATATTCATTTAAACAAACAGAAAATCATTTTAAAATAACTTTTATCACTCCGGCGTCAGCGAAGTTGTTTTGTTTTTTCTATTGTATTTTTAAAATTTTTTTTGTTGTCGCAAGTGTGTTTTGGCGCGAAATAATTATACCAGTACTTGAATAGTGTATGTGGCCGTATTTATTTTATCTACGTCACAGCTTTGTCTCCGAAGAGTTGTGGTACACAGCTCAAAATCTCTGACTAATTTTCCGATGTGCGATTCGATTTCGCTCGCATGATACGACAATTCCTCCAAGAGGAACAAATAAATCGTTCTTTTCATGCTGTTTGATTAAGTATAGATTTAATTGGGGTAAGAATATATTTAATACATGTAGATTCTGGTCCTATTTTAATAATAGCGCTGCTATTTTGCCGTTAAACAAGATGTGGTCGTTTATGGTCGCGTTGACACGTCGCAGTTAATTTGCACATGATTGAAGATTTATCTTAAGCACAATTCCAAAGTGTAAAACAAAGTGAACGTATCATGCGGTTTGTTTCTATACTTTTTTTAAATTACGATGTGCTTCTGAATGTCGCGATCGAACAACATTTAGGTTCGCAGGGCATCTAACTCAATATGAACTGTATTGTTTATGTCCGGAAGCTTTATATCGAACACTGGCACATGCGCAGCACGCCGGAGTTAACGCCTTGTTAAATTGGTGAAGGCTATTTCAGGTATGCCAGAGCACCTCGTCACCAGGCCTCCAACTCATACGCGGCGTCGCGGACTGCGGCCACAATATCCAATATGGCGACCAGACATAAGGAGTGCATATTTTAAAAATCCTTAAAAAATACGTTAAGTTTATATGCAAATTTAGTATAATATGAGTAGACTTTGTAGTTTATATATTCTGCCGGAAATCACTCACAGGCCCTGGAAGCAATTAAGCGCTGGCGGGAAAGAGCATAACAGGTAAGGCACCTTAGTTTACCAAGTCTGCTTTATTCAATTATTGAAAATTATATGAACAAACTGCAACAAACCAGACAATCTTAACTTGGAAAAGCTAGACTGGTTGCCCTTGCCTGGTAGACAAGGCTCTCAAGGCACCCTTGAAATTACTTGCTGTGTTAGCTTTTCCGAAAGTGATTAATTTGAAATTACTATGATAAATTTAATTAAAAAGGTCTAACCCCTTTGTCGAGATAACATTGATATTTTGTCAGCAAATAACTAGGTTCAATCAGGGGAAATTGGCAACATGATGCAGTAAAATGTATTCCAGAGAGTCTTTTTAAGACTCGATCTTTTACTTTAAGCATCTTAAAACATTCCAAAATTCTCTCAAAGTGAGCAAGATGCTAAACCCTCTAACATTCTTGTAAAAACTACATACTTCTGAGAAGTGTCATTTTGACTTCTGCTTACCCCTTGGGAAATTCCTAAGCCCCAACCATGGTTTTTCAATAAAAGGTCCATTATTTTCTAAAACACTTGGCATTTTGTTCTTGTTCAAAGGCTCAATTTTGATCTGATTACAGAGTGTGTTGGTTGTGGTTTGCAAGATGTGGGTTCTACTAAAAATGTTAAGACTAACTTGCCTGGTAGAGAGTAATTAAAATGAGTGGTCAGACTATATATACAACCCTCTCTTATCATGGAGTAGGCAATTCACTTAGTGTGTACATGTTCAGGAGGGAAGAAGAAGGTACATTCCTTTGCTTGTCTTAGTTGTCTAGTAGTTTGCAATCTCTGATTTACACAATTAACATGGAATCTCTGGCAACATCTTTTGCATTTGACTTTGTTGTCATTCATCTGATCTTCAATTTTCTATAGTGGACACTTAGTTGTCTTGAGACTCTTACAAACACATTTTCCAGCATAATGTTGCCAAATTTCCCCCGGAATAAAACTACTTATTTTATGATAAAATATCAATGTTTTCTCAACAAAGGGGTAAGACCTTTCTAATTAAATTTAACAGAGTATTTATTGGTATTATAAGTTTTAACAAATGTATAGTTGCTCATTGAATTTAAGATATTGAACATAAGATAAATATAAGTGCTTTCCTGCAGTTATTTGAGCCAGAAATCTTGCACAGTTGTTTTTATAGCTCCAAATTAATCACTTTCGGGGTAGCTAACACAGCAAGTAATTTCAAGGGTGCCTGGGGAGCCGTTGTCTCCCAGGCTAGGGGAACCAGTCTAGCTTTTCCAAGTGAAGATTGTCTGGTTTGTTGCAGTTTGTTCATATAGTTTTCAATAATTAAATAAAGACAGACTTGGTTTCTTTTGCTCATGGTAGTTACCACTGACATACCGCGATACAAGGTAAAAAACCGTGTTCGTCAGCCACCCAATTCTTATGAATATTATATTTTCGGCTTTCCGTATACTTTTTTTTGTATTTCATATAAAAAGGATAAAAGTGTTCCTCTTTTTCCCTGTTCAACAAATGGAAAGGAGACGTAACTTCGTGCTCTATACGTCGGACGTTGTGAATGGCTTAATTTACTTATCGGTAGAGTGAATTTTCTGATTTTGCATGCTGTTATTTTATGGCATCCAGGTAAGCCGTTTTTTACCTTTTTTCTATTATAAACAATTTCGTTTTTTGCCTTTCGAATTTGGACTATAGTGTAAACTGATTACCAAAGCCTCTGAGACAATAAATCCATCAAAACGTGTGGTACACACAGCAAATACTACCATGTTATCTGATTTTGTTGTTGGCTGGTGTTTTTATACCAATTGTTATATTAATTAATGAAATAAATATAAACATGCATTGACTGAGCAGTGTGTCTTCTATCTGCAACAACTTTTATAATTTTCTGTTTATGGTATAAACTTCCATGCAAGAGGGCTAAATTCATTTGGTTAATCAGTGGAGCCTAGATGGAGTGATGAATGTTGTTCTTTACTATGACCAAGGGTCCAAGGATGCAATTAGACAATACTGAAAACTTTTATAGCCCGTTGAGGTACAAGTTGATGACTTAAATGAAAAGTATATTATGCAAATATGACTCTTGATTTAAACAGATATTTCTGCACTTATTATTGGTCAGCTGCCCAGCATTTTGCCTGAGCTTTGACCTCTGTTTCTTTGGATTTTGGATTGTATGAATAAACAAAATATTATTACGAAAATGAAATAATAGACCTGTCAGTTTGTGTCAGTGTTAAAATCTTTAGTTTGTCCACATTTTTTCGACATTTTAATATATATATCTGCTCCCGCATTCGCAAAAAAAAACAGCGTCTATGACTTGTATTCATCTTAAATTACTTAACTATATTGGAGGCCAGAGTGAAAAATATATTAAAAAAAACCAAAACCATTTCAAAAACAAAAAATTTCACGGCAAAAAAATTCATATAAACCAGAGAGAGAACTATTTTTCACATAGTGGTTAGTAGCCTGGTTAGTGGTAAATACCATGGCCGAAAGGAACCAAGTAGCGTCAGCAGAGCGAAATCCGCCATATTTGTGGCTTCAAAAAGATGGCGGCGAACTTTTAAGTTGATTTCAGGTAGGGGTAAAAGGCGCTATAAACGGCCGCTGATTGGTTAAATGATTTTTCCAATTTATGTGTAATTAGCGGAATATTTTGTAATATTACTCAATATCTTTTCAACATGTCCGAGTTTTCTCAGGCAATCCTTCTTAAGGCAGACGGTTTATGCCGTATTTAAAACAACGTTCACGTTTAGGGTTTCTTCGATGCATTGTTTCAGTCCTCGTCAACTTTCCTGTGGTTAGGGCCACCTCGTAGTCTTTCGGAAATGTTCGTCACAACGAGGGGATTATGCTTAATTAATTTACGCGTATACTCTTGCGAAAAGCATGGGCCAAATGAAATGAAACAGAATATATGGTTATATGTAGTAACCTAATACAAGGTTTCAAACTAATATTGTGTACCAATAATATATCACATGTTCCATTATGATGCTGATTAGCAAGAATTTTGTCCAACTTTCTGTGTTTATTTAATATAACTAGCGGAAGGATGAAGATTTCTTAAAAAAAACCCGTCATATCTTAATCGCACCGTAAAATCCCCAATAAATAAGTAGATCTCCCGCTCTATTGGCTGTCAATACCCCTTTCTATATCTCATTAGGAAGTATATGATCAACAGTAGGCTAAAATCCGATGTCATAAATAACACTACCGAATATCAGGTAAATTTTCTTCCAAAGTGTTTATAGATCAGCGAACAAACTACTCCATACCAAAATAGCAAACACTGGGCTGTCTTGGCAACCTCGTTCCCAGGGACTTTTTCATCGATTCCCGGGTTGGGGAAAAGACCCTTTAAACGGCTGCTGATTGGGTAAATGATATTTCCAATTTGTGTGCAATTAGCGGAATATTTTGTAACTATTCCGAAATAG